ATTCCATATCTTACCTAAACGCGAACGAACAAATGAGACATCACTGGAGGAATGGAATTAAATTACAATATAAATTTTCATATATGACGCCGTACGACGCGGAGCTAATTCCGGAAACAAGGCGAACAGGCATCCGGCAAACTTGGAAGGCGGCGGCCGGAGGAGAGCCCGAGATCTCCGTAACAGGGTTCCGATAGCCACCAAAACTGAGTTTCGGTTTCGCCGATAAAATAAAAATGTAACAGGGATTATGGAAAAGATAGATATCCAAATCTCTTAGCTTGACCCATATCCCATCGGAAACAGGAACTCAATGAAGGTTAATCCTCAATCCTCACAACAAAAACTTTCAGAACGACCATCAAAATGACAAAGAGATTATAGAATTATGATAATGTAGTTATGGTGCCATTTGATTACTAATTAAAACTGATAATATAAGCTTATGCGAGCTATGACGGAGAAAGAGAAGAAGAGGAGGGGTGATGTGTACCGGATATGACGCCTGTGAAGTAGACAAGAATAGAGGTCTTGCGCTTCCGAGAGCCCAGTCGATGTCGGCGCCAACGTGAGGGTCGCCCTTGTTGTAGAGAAGGTCGGACTCTAGAGTTATTAATTTAAGTTTATGGATGATTTAGACCTTCAGGATCTGGGCTTCAGTGGTCCTCCCTTTAGTTGGACAAATAGGAGGGGTAATCCTCTACGAGTTGTTCAAGAGAGTTCAAATATACAATGAACCTGGATAATAATGCAATCATTTAGGACGCAAATACACCACATGAAAACATCCAAGAATAAGGTACTAAATCGTCCAATTTAGGTTTTCCTCAATAGTTTGGAGGGGTAGGACGGTTGTAGCTAGGTTATGTAGTAGAGATTAAAAACTAGGTTTAATATACTTGTATATCCAAAATTTTCACGGTTGTGCTAATAATATTCAAATTTTCCGAAATACCACTTATATTCATGTTTTAAAGTTGTTCTTTGCCAAATCTATCCATTTCCCAATATATTTTTGGTTAAATACACTTGTATATCCAAAAACACCGTTAAAGAATGTGAAGGAATTGGATTTAAGTGGTATTTCGGGAAATTTAGATATTATTGGCACAACCGTGAAAGTTTTGAATATACAAGTGTATTTAACCTAAAAACTATATAAGTAGTATTTACAGATTTCGGCGATAATATGGAATCAAGCAAATAATAAAACAACTCAAGTTTACGGCACTCTATCCTGTACTCTCATTTGTGAGTTATAAAAACTCTTGATCGTGGTTCAATCAAAACCCATTACTATGAATAAATGTCGGATAAAGCTTTCTTGATGACCATTGACCAAAGTAGCATCGGTGGTCAAAACAAAACCCGTATATGCACAGTAGTGAGTAAGTCGGAGATGATGCAGGAAAGATGGAACCAACCCAGTTACATAATTAAGAGCAGGGGAACGGTAAATAAGAGTATATCTGGCAATCGGGTCGGGTTGGTAAATTCGGGTTGATGACATCGGTTATGGGTCAGGTCGGGTCATGTTTGGTTGGTTGATTTCGGGTCAATTATTGACCCAATCCATTCAGTTTCGGGTCGGGTTATAGGTCATTTCGGGTTATGAGCGTTCTCAGAAACAATATCAAACATGCTTCGTATTTTCTTACAAAACACAAATGTTCACATATGCATGACAATAGTTTACCTAACACATGTCAATTAACATATACTCAAATCCTCCCACGCTAATGAAATGAAGTACAAATTGCGCAAATCGTACAAATTGCGCAAATCGCAAATTGCGCAAATCCTCCCACTACTACAAGAAACACATGATATTTGATTATCCTTAAACTCCAAAAACATGTCATTCAAATCCTTGTGATTTTTTTCTTAAATATCTCACCAATTTATGAGTGATTTTATCATTTTGGGAGTGATATATAAAATGGAACAGGTCTAACGGGTCGACCCGCTAACCCACCCAACTCGACCCAAAAAATCAAGGGTTATCGGGTTCGAGTTACGATAATTTCTAGTTTTCGGGCGGTTTCGGGTCGGGTCAACGGGTCGGGTTGTAATTTGCCAGGTCTAAATAAGAGTAAAGTATTCGAAGACTCGACGTCACAGTTTGAATGGAAAATCATTGACCAAACCGGAGTGAAGAAAAAGACCCTTTAAAGTGGGAGTAAAATATCTCGAGCACCACGTAAGTTTGAGAGATGGGGCAGACATACCACTTAATTTTGAATAGGGCGTCGGGTACCATTAAAGTCGTCAAAATGTGCATAGGTATAGTTTTCCATCCAACCCAAAATTTTAATTACCTTTTGGTACCCAAATTTTTTTAAAACATCAAAAAGTATATTTCAACAAGTATTATCTAATATAAAAATTAGAAAATCTTCTAAACCTAGTGTTACTAGGATTACTAATGAAATTTTTTCAATAAAAAGGATAAATTAGTAAAAATAATAAACGAATATCATGATGGAATAATAAATATACTAGAAGATAATAATAAATATATAAAATCAATATTGGAATATCTATTTAAACTCCTAATACAATTAGAAGCACAACTTAAAACAATTAAAATAGAACCTAAATAACCATAAATACATCAAATTATTTATACCGAGACAGAATGCATAGTATATATTTTCTTAAGGGAATAATTCAATTAATAGAGCACATAATGATAATTAAAAATACTTATAAAGATAATTGATTTTAGATTTCTTATTCAAAAATTGGTTTGGTATAAAACATAGTTTTCAAAAGATTTTTCCAGCTAAACATTTAAAAAATAATATTTTTCATAAGTACAAATGATTTTTTACAATAACAAAAAGTAGAAGGACAAATTCTTATATTTAGGAAACAGAATATTCGAAGAATATTCTGTCAATTTTAACGGAATGCACTTGACAGTAAACTCAAGTGGTACCAAGTGCACATATAATAAAGTTTAGTGGCACGCGATGCCCTATTTTTACTGAAGTGGTATAGCTCCCCCAATTCTCATACTTTAGTGGTACCCGATGTATTTTACTCCTTCAAGTGGTGTCCTTTTTTGGGTTATTTTACCCATTCATCCAAAATTAATCTTGTACTATTTTTTATGCTAACGAAGATGCACAATCCATAATACTCGTACCCCAATATACAAAAAGGAGATTTTATTTATTTCAATAATCTCTATCCTTATTACAATTTGTAAATGATATAACATACCGTTTGTTATAAATGAATTCCATAAGTTTTTAGGAATTCATTTTGAAATGAAATCTTTTTGTGTTTGGTATATAAAAGAATTCATTCTCAATTCTAAATTTTGAATTCTACGAAATTGGAACTAGTTATAGCAATTCCAAGGAATTGTGATGGAATTTTCAAATGAATTCCACAAGTATTTACCAATTATGATTAAATGACATGATTATTCTCATTTACTAACAAAATTACTTCTACATATATTATTTGCCGCCAATTCATGCAGTATGAGGAACGTCGACAAGAATTTGATTGTAACGCTAATAGCATATACCAAACATAGGAATTCATTTGACAATGAATTCTACATAGAAATTCATTTTAAAACGAAATGAATTCTTGATTTATTTGGTACCAAACGGTCCGTAAGATTAATAATTGAACTCCTTTTAATAAGTGGAGTTGTTATACTAAAGGTTTTCAACATGGTTTCAGAATTTTCAATGATAAAAAAGTTCTGTTTGAATTTCAATAACCTCATTTGTTAAGCACGTGGTATTCAAACCTCTACAAATTTTAGATAATAATTTATCTTTCATTTGAGAGGCGTATTAGTAAATTGTATGAAATCTATAATTTCAATTGAATCGACCAAAAAGCCAGCAACAGAAACCATTGCTTTGCAGAGATCAAATGTCAATTGAATATGTCTCAACAAATAGAGTTTTTCAAGAGTGAATAATTCTTCATCATTGACCAACCCAATCAAGGAAATGCTCTCTAGTGATATCACCCAACAGAATTCTTTGACATCGGCGACCGCCTCTCCTGGTCGGCCGCTAGATATCTCTTTTCCAATGACATAACAGGACCATGCTGCATCTAGTCTAGGCTTCCAAACGACTTTCGCCCCCTCTGAAATGGCGACAGACACTTCTCCAACGGCTAACCAAGCCTCAAGCCAACAAAAAGAGCGTGGAGACGGATGTCATGACAACCTTTGCCCACATGAAAACTCTCAAGATCTCCCCTACGGCGACAAGCCCTGGAGCCTCCTCATATGCTAGTGCCATTCTGGAATAAAGAATCCTATTAATTTAGCAGCGGCAAACAACCAGTGGACTCCTATAGGAGAACATGATCTCATCCTAGGAGATTTCAATGGTGAATCAATGTTAAAATTCTTAGCAGGCTTCAAGAACGGGCTTTGTGCTCCTTGGCAGAGAACCCTTGTTGTTCGATTACTGGGGATTAAGTGGGATTTCCCACCATATGCCCATGGATCCTTGTGCAATGTAGTATGACTGGGCATTGGAAATGAAAGATTTGGATCATGATTGCTATATGGTGAAACTAGAAAACGATCAAGATTACTTCAAAGCTCTCACCGATGGGCCGTGAAATTTTTTTGATCACTATATGATTGTCCGTCAATGGACACCAAATTTTAGAATCTCTAACCCCTTCCGAAGAAGATGATCGTCTGGATTTGGCTTCCCAGTCTTTGAATTCATTTTTACCACAAAGTGGTTCTAATCTCTATTGAAAATCTTATTAGGCGTACTATCAAGCTCAACTATCACATCCTGAACCAACAACGAACCAAATTCGCACGCCTTGTTGTGGAGATTAATCTAGAGAAGCCCCTAATCCCTAGAATCCACCTGAATGGGGAATGGCAGAAAATTGAACACGAAAATCTCCCAGAGGTTTGCTTCGATTGCGAGAAAGTTGAACACTCATCAGTATCTTGCGCAACTCTCCAGTGAGCTCCTCAAGTCGAGAGTCTGACGATGATCAGATTCAAGGTTTCAGACAGTTCCAAAGCAACAGTGATGGAACCCAGCACACATTTCAAACCCTGGTTGGTAATTACCAAAAAAGGGCGGCGTAATAATCAGGATCACAATCGAAAAGGGAAGGACGAAATTGAGGCTGGAAAACTGAATCAAGGTAATGTCATTAAGAATGGAAAGAATATCTCGGCAAGAAAGGAAGGTGAAGATGTGAATGGGTGGCCCTCTCCTCATTTCCATACTTCCCAACGGACAAATACTTCGGACTACAAAAAGGAAGGAGACGAGTTGAGCTCCGCGGACCAGGAGGGTTGGTGGGCAAACCCGGGGCTCGACGGAGCTGAACATGGGTGGATCACGGAACCGAACTCGGGTCAAACCGGGCAGCCAACTGAACCACTGATCGTTTGAACCGAGATAAGTCAAACTGATCCGAACCAGGCTGGGTCGGCAGCCGACGGACAGCAACTGGGGCGCGGAGGCTGGAGGTACTAGGGCCGTCCAGCGAGGGAAATACCCCCGTGGGGAACTCCGAGGGTGGACAAGGGACGTGGTCACCAAGGCTTAGAAGTTGGATAAGGGTCCGCGACTAAAACCGGGCACGGAGAAGGCTACGGGAGGAATATGGGCAACTTACCCTATCCTCAGCAGCAGTGGACCAAACCGGGCTACCAATATAGTTGACCTGGGCGCCGGGAACTACCGCTGGACTCAGGCAGGTATGGACACTGTAACCCTTTGTATGATTATGAAGACTGCCTCCGGTTATCGAGTTTCCAAAATTTGATGGTCATAGTGACGTGAGACTGTGGCTATACGCGACGGAGAGGTGGTTCAAGAACCACCCGATCAGAGAGGAGAGGAAGGCGCATTTGGCGTCCTTATATTTGGAGGGAGAGGCGCTCTAGTGGTGGGAATGGATCGAGAGGGCTTATGCAGCAACAGGGGAGATTATCTCATGGGTCAGGTTTCAGGATGAGCTTCGATACCAGTTTGGTAGAACCGAGAGGTGAGCGCCAGAGCAGCTGGCCAAGCTTAATCAGACTGGCTCAGTAGCAGAGTATCGAGCATAGTTCCTTAAGGGAACCAGTGCAAAGAGATAACCGAGGAGATGCTGGTGGGGCTGTGCATGGCGGGGCTACAACCCGAACTGGCGGCGTCAGTTAAGGTCTTTGAACCTGATTCTCTTCGAGTTCTTTGCAGGCTTGCAGGTCGCAAGGAAGAGGAGCTAGCCAGCTGGAGGTCCTCGACAGGGGGATTCCATAGGGAGAGTGACGGAGCAGGCGTTGCAGCACCCTCATCGCCGCCAAGGACTACAAACCCGACAGGGACTATTCAAAGAGGCTGGTTTCCGTCTAGGCTACAACCAAAAGGGTTCGTCAGTCTTACTTGGCGGAGATGGAGCAAAAGCGCAGGGACGGACGCGGTTTCAATTGCGATGAGAGGTATACGGTGTGACACGAGTGCACCAAGGGTCACCTGATGTTGCTGGTCGAAAACTGGAAAGACGAGAGCTAGGAAATGGAGGCGGGCGAGGCTGAGACGAAGAAGGAAGTGAAGAAAGAAGGTCCACCTTGAGGGCAATGTGGGTTTCAAGGGGGTGGAATGTCAGAAACTCATTCTTTTGGGGTTTATTTGTCGTTAATTATTATTCGAGATATTTTGAATTTATGTTGGATATTTCGGGAACTACTGAGATTTATTCGGTTAGGTTAATTAATTGGATAGTAATAGGGAATTAGTCGGATTATATATTCTTTTATTGGGAGAGAGTTGGAGGTTAAGAAATAACACAATAATTATACCCTACAGTTCTCTCTCTCACCCTAGCCAAAACTCCTCCTCCTCACCCCCTAGCCGTTGGCCATCCTTCTTCCGGGAACCAACCTCTTCTTTTCTCTCACCTAAATTCCAGTTCTTTCTCATCTAAATCCCAATTCTCTTATTAATCGCAAACCCTAAATCGCGCACCTAGATCCATATTCTTTCAAGTCCGCACAAAAGGTAGCGGCAAAAGCAAGTGATTATCAAGAAGGAAGATACTCCATAAGAAAGAGCAGTGTCCTGGAAATTTCGTTGCCACATAAACGAAATCATGTGCTCCGAAGAGCAACATGACTATCAGGATGCTACGAACAACATCATCGAAACACAAACATAATCACGTTCTCAGAACAACAACATGGCGATCAGGATGCTCCCTATAGCATCATCAAACTGGAAACGAAACCAAAATGCTCTGAATATCATTCATCAAAGTGAGATATTTCGGACAATATCTCAAACTTGTGTTCGAGTCCCGATGACGCCATTTGTGAAGCACATGTATTCTCGTGTTCAGGACATGTGCAAACGAAAACTCTTATGAGGTGACTGGCTTTCAGTTGAGAGGGTGCGTTAGTGAACAGTATATTATCCACGATTGAACTTTTTCCAACAACTCAAGTAATTTGAACCAACTGGTTTTTGACATGGTATAAGAATCTGATTCGAAAACCTAATGAAAAAACCTAAGTTTCCTTCCTACTCTGCCGCCACCATGAGTCCACAGTCACCGGGAATATGATTACTCCGGCCATCCAATCTTTCTATCTGTTTCTCCTCATCCGTCAGTAATCTATTCTCCTCCACCTCGATATTGCTTGAGTAGCTTTGTGTTTACTTAGTTAATTAGCCTTGTTATTATGGTGGTCGTCTTTAGCGTCAAGAAAAATTGTGATATCCATAGTTCGTCCAAGCTCGTCCTGTCTCGGAATAATTACTCCCCATGTCGTCCCTTCACTTGATCTGTTGTGCTTGTGCGCCTTGCATAATGGTATTGGGAACTCAAGTTTGCATCTTGGTTGTTATCGACGACTTGGGTTTCCAATTATTGGACTTGCATAATGTGCAGACTTCCTGGAAAGCAGGTTAATTTCCAGAAGTCGGCACTGTCTTTTAGTAAGAATGTTAAACCGCATCAGCGATTAATGGCTAGTGGAGCTTTGGGGATGGTTATTGTGGACAAGCATGAAAAGTATTTGGGTCTCCCTACGGTGGTTGCTCGTTCGAAGAAAGAAGTCTTTCAAGGTCTTATTGAAAGGGTCAGGAAAAAGTTAAAAACCTGGAAGGAGTGTGTGTTATCTGTTGCGGGTCGGGAAGTTCTAATTAAGTCTGTTGCCCAAACACAATTTACCTATGCTATGGGAGTCTTTCGCGTTCCCCAAGCTGTCCTGGATGAAGTACAAAGCCTTATAGTTAATTTCTACTGGGGCCAAAAAGGGACAGAGACAAGGGTTCATTGGATTCGACGCAAGGAAATTGTGTGTGCAAAGGAGGAGGGCGGGCTGGGTCTACGTGATTTACAAGGTTTCAATACAACGCTGCTTGCAAAACAATTATGGAGGATACATCATCGTCCGGATTCTTTGATCGCGCGCATTCTTAGAGCAAAATATCATAAGAACTGCTCCGTGCTGGACGCGTCATGTGGATATCAACCCAGCTTCATCTGGCGTAGCCTCATGAGTCCGCAGGAGTTCCTAACAAGCAGACTACGCTCGCGAGTGGGTAATGGAGCTCAAATCATAATATGGGGAGACAAATGGCTTCCAACAGCCTCCACTTTTGTGGAATCGCCGCCTGTCGGACTCCCGGTCGATGCCGCTGTCCGGGAACTCATTTCCCCTAACACAGACCAGTGGGACGATTCTCTGCTCAAAGTTTGTTTCTCTACGGAGACGGCTAATGTAATCTGCAATATTCCTTTGCGCAGTTTGAGGGAAGGTGATAGACAAATATGGATGGGAACCGCGTCTGGCGAGTATTCAGTACGTGATGGGTACCGTCTCTGGCTTCAAGATTTTAAAATTCGCGAACAGGTATCGCCAGCCGGCAAATCTCAGGTTTGGAAGAGGCTCTGGACAATGAAAATTCCGCCGAAAGTAAAGCACTTCTTATGGCGGTTTGCTCGAGATATCTTACCAACTGGGGACCATATCAGCACCAGGAGTAAGCGTTGGGGGGATAAGTGCCCTTTTTGTGACTTAAAGGAGACCCAGGTCCACAGGTTTGCACAGTGCGAATGGTCGTCCTGGCTATGGCGAAGCTCGGAGCTGGCCGATTGCTTCCTATGTCGCCCCTCAGATTGCTGTTATGACTGGCTAAAGACGGTCATGGACTTGAAGACTGAGGCAGAGTTTGAAGACTGGGTGGTTCTTCTTTGGTTCCTGTGGAAAGAGCGAAATGCTCACCTCTTCAACGGAATAAAGCTGGCTGAGCATGAGATAGTTCCGCGTGCGAAGCTGTGGATGGCTAATTATCGAGCAGGGGCAGCAAGAGGTCGGGGAGCAACAGCCTGCAGCAAAATGCTGGCGAAAACCAGGAAGGGGCCAGCTGAAGATTAATACTGATGCAGGGGTCTTTGAGGCCGGGGGCATTGGACTGAGAGTGGTAATACGTGATGGAGATGGTACTTTCCTCCTTGCAGCAGCAAAAAAAGTTCCACGAGTGTGGGAAGCAGAAGTGGCCGAAGCCTTAGCATCAGAGTTTGGTGTACAATTAGCTCTTCAGCTCCACATGACAAATGTGATCCTCGAAACAGATTTTTTGATAATGGTGATAAAGATTAAATAAAAGTGGCAAAAGCCAAAGAAGTCCAAGATAAATACAAACCAAATAAGAAGAAGGTTCAGAAGCACTGAACCGCAGCAGCAAACAATAGCAACAAAAAAGCTAAAAGAAACATAAGGAAGGCTCAATGGCGAGAGCCCAACAAGACGCTATAACAACAAAAGCAAAGATAGGAAGGGGAAAAGGGAAAGCCCACAGAGAGCAGGAAAGAGGTCCCTTGAAGCAACCATGCACCATCAACCGAAACCACCAAAGACGCAGCACCAGTCGCCTCCACGACACAAATGCAATCATGAACAGGCCAAAAGCAAAGATACCAACCTCAGCAACACCGATCAATCAAGCAACCTCCATTCGAAGTCTTCAACCCAAGCCAGCCACCCAAACGATCTCACACCCTGGTTAAAAAATTCCTAAGCCACCTGATACCATCATCCTTTCCCACCTTGCCATGAACCATGACCCACTCCATTATACATCTAATTGCCATCCGCGCAATCACAGGAGCAGGCACATTTTTGTCTTGGAAGATACGCCTATTCCTCTCAAGCCACACTTGCCAACAAACCGCATGTAAAGCACAATAATGAATCCATCCTGAAATGTTCCCTGGCTCATCCTTTCTCCACCTTTGAATCGTTGTTCCAATATCAGTAGATGGCGGGACAAAGAAGTTGCCAACTCTCATGATCCGCCACCGCCAACTTATGGGTGAGCGAGAGGCAATCTGTTCCGAGGAAGTCGGAACAGATTGCCTCTCGCTCACCCATAAGTTGGCGGTGGCGGAGAATATTCACACTGAGATTGGTGTAATATTTCGTAACATACTCAGGCTCCTTCAAGATGTTGGAAATGGTGTTTGGCAGTACGCTCCAAGGGAAGGGAACATGGCTGCTCATATCATGGCTCACACAGAGACTAGATGGAATGAGAGAGAGGTCTGGATAGATAGACCTCCTATGATTCTTGTTGATCAGATCATGTTGGACAATGTAACCGCGGATTCTGATTAATAAAGCCTTACAGAATTGATAAAAAAAAAATAATAATGTGCAGACTTCCACGACTAGTTTTTCCAGTTGGCGCTGGTCTGAACTTGGAGATGATGATCAAAGACTCCGATTCCCTGTGTCTCTGTTAGTTTACTTAGGAAATCTAGAATGAGTTGAATTTTATTTCTTACTCATCAGTAAGCAGAAATTATCTCCAAGTCATAGTGGTTCAATGATTCCTTCAGGGTCAATAGTTAGTCTATTTGGTTTGTGTGGTTGTTTTGCCGACTTTCACTTGACAGGACGAAGTTGGAACTTGACCGCAAAAGGATGAATAGAGAGTCAGTCGGCAGAGACATTGGGCCCTGTGTAACAGAGTAGTTAGAAGGGTGGCCAAATGGCGTCTAATTAGCAAAAACAAACATCTGCAGCCTGCAGGCATAACACTACAACAAATTGCCATAATATATTATAGATACAGGAAAAGGACTTGGGAGATTTCTATAAGTAACACCATGCCCTGCTCTTCTTTTGGTGGTCATGCAAGTACAAGCCTAAGGCTGGTTTTGTTATCAACTTCACATTGGCTTTTACATTAGGTTTCTTCTTAGCTTAGATTAACCATTCTCCATCTCAAGATGGGGAAGGCAGCGAAATGGGTGATGAATTTCCTGCTAGGGAAGAAGCATGGAGGCAATAGCAGCAAGGTTAGTAGCAAGACGGACTATAATGGTGCGCCTTTCCAAGAAGATTGCAGCATAGAGACAGCAGCTGTTAGTGTTCTTCCACCACAAACTCCAACCCACTACCACAAGAGGAGATGGAGCTTCGGAAAATCAACAAGCAAAGACAAATCATTGCCTCGGAGGCATAGTACAAGCACCGTCATTGCCACCTTCAACCCTCTTCTGCAAGCCTCGTCGGCCGATGCCATGGAGCATCTGCTCTTGGGTCCGTCTCTGGGGAACAATGAAGCTGTGGCTCTGGCCATCCATGAAGCTATTAAGAACTTGGAGAGGAAGTCAAATGCTTCACAAGCAGCAGAAGCGGAGGACAGACTGCTGAGGATCGTCTCTCGTGAACATGCTGCTGCCACCAGGATCCAAGCTGCCTTCCGGTCTTACTTGGTAATCACCACTGAAACCTTCTCCTCTATGCTCTTTCGTAGTAGAACTGCAAACTAAGATTGTTTATCACTTCTACCCACCATGTTTCCCATTCTCTTCTTTCTGCTCGTACATCGACTTTCGGGGATCTCATTACTGTGTTTTTTGCTAGGCAAGAAAAGCTCTGGCAGCACTTAAGGCACTGGTTAAGCTACAAGCACTGGCAAGAGGCCATCTAGTGAGGAAACACATGAGCGCCACAATCCGAAAAATGCACGCCGTTGTGTCAATCCAAGTCAGAGCCCGTTTCCAGAGAATCCAAATGAGGGAGCACTCACAACTTCAACAACAACAACAACAACAAGTTGTTGATCGGTCCTCAAAGGCTGGAGATTCTCCTTCCCACAAGAAGAGGATCAAGATAGCTCAAAGTGGATCAAACCAGAATACGAACAACAACAAGAAAGATGGAAACTTGAACGATTCCGAGAGATTTGCCGCCAGGAGGCATTCAGGGGACCTCTCGTTCCTGAAGCGCGAAGGGGCATTCGAGGAATCTTCTTATTTTTCTTCTACCCAGACCAGCCCTGGGACAACCCGCCATTACAAAGCTTCTCAACAGGTGGTCTCTTCAGGACATGATTCTTCGTTCCTGGAGCCGAGCTACATGGGGAAGACGCAGTCCTCGAGGGCAAAGTCGAGGTCTCACAGCGAGCCGAGGCAGCGACCTCGCAGGAGCATTTCGTCAAACACCGGGCAGTCGCCGAGCAGCAGCGTGCAGAGTGGTTTCTCATCATCGTCGAAAAGGCTGCCGCTTGGTGAATCCCAGGAGCAGTGGTTCATCAAGCTGTTTCGCTCGACCGTGGCGCCGCCGCCGCAGGGTGGTGACGATTATTATTGCGACGGCGACACAGAAATCCTCGTCGCCTGCGAGGTATAATGATCGTCTAGTCGGAACTCTTTATTACGACCCGTTAATTTCGTGTATTGGGTTTCTGATTCTTTGATTTCTCTGCAGCCGCACTTGAATATGTACTGACTATGAGACTGAGAGGAAGGACGAGAGGAATCCTCGATAGAATTTGTGATCACTAAACAGGACAAATTCTTGCATTTGGCATACTTCTGTTCTGTGGGAAAAACACGTCGTTAACTGTAAGAGGGGAAGAAGGCCAAGATCAGCGACCTAGAATTAGCAACATGTCTTGGAAAATTGCCCCATCGATCTCGTCCCCGTTGACTTCATTTGCACATTTAGCCTTATCCATGCCGTTTCAGTCAACGTCAGTCTCTCCTAATGGTGCATTAACATCAGTGTACATGAGCAATTGCCTGCAAAAATGATTAAAAAACAAGTTCAACAACGTCAAGTACAGGATTGCACAATATCGTGTGGAAACAATTTCGTCCCTCAGTACCACTCAAAGTCCCTCGGCTTCGGAAAAACTTGCCTTTCAGTTAAATTCACACCATCCTGATTAACAAGGAACAAAAGTACAAAGGAACACAAGTTAGACAACGAATCCAGTAGTTTAGAACAAGTGCAAAAAGAACAGCCAGCTTCCATTTTGTGTTAAGAGTTAAACACGGAACAATTTCAACCAAATGGTTACCATGGTTATAACCAAACCAAATAAGACTAAATACCATTAACCATGAAATACAATATCAGAACCAAACCGTCCAAACTAATACAACAACCAAATTAACCAAACTAAAGTTTAATCGGTTTGGTTAATTGGTTAAACCAATATAAAATCACATTATCATTGACGATGCAAATTTTCTGGTTAATGCAACAATTCGCAATTTATATAATGAATAAAACATAACAATCAACACGTAGTTATAGTTGACCCTTAACAAAAATACATGCAACTAAGACAATTATCTTACGATTAGTATAGAAGTATTCACCTAACAAAAAAATATGATAATGGTATGGGTTAATGAATTGTTGTGTTTGTGTAAATTGACTTAGTCTCTTAGCAATTATCATAGGCTGGAAATGACCTTCCTTTCAAGTTTTCATTCATCATAATGTATGAAATTTATCTAAATTAGCGTCCATATGTTGTGGTCTAGACTTTACATATACAAATATACACTATATGAGCAATATTGAGCTTTAAATTTTACTAGAATCAATACCCGCTGCTACGCCGCGAGAACTAAAGTTGCATCAGTATTATTGTATGGTGGACAGTTTCGGCGATGACAAACTGGGGTTGTATTATTGATAATATTGTGGATTTCAAAGTATCGCAAGTCTGTTCAGGGGATATTTGTATCTTGAGTTTCATAGTTAATTACCATGGTACTCCTGTTAACGTACATGTTTGCCAATGAGCTCCACATCCCGAAAGCAAAAGTTAAAAACAAATGTTTTGTCAAGAAACACTAATAGTTAACCGTTTTCCATGTCTTAGGAAAGAGTGAGTTGTTGTAGCATCCAATGTGTACATAACATGCAGACATGGAAGCAAAATATGTTATGGGTTACAATCCCAACATGGGAAGATCTTCTTCCTAGTTGCAGATTTTTGTAAGTTCTGTTCCAACTTCCAAGTTGAAGATTTAACTAAATATAACTGAACAAAATCCATGGCCATTTTGTGGTAAAAGGAACACTTAGACATGATTCTATTTACAAAATCCCTGGTGCTCAAGTACGCAGATTGCGGAGTTTTTCACAATTAATTATCCCTTCGCTTCTCAATACCTCAGTTCCATGGAATAGAAAGTTCCTAACCAAATCCTACCATTAAAACACACATCTTGTTGTAAGCAACTTAGTATAAAACCATAATAAGTAATAACCGCAAAAAGACACTCCAATCAACAAATATTTGCACCTTTGGACACATTTGAAGAAGTAAATTAACCATTTTTGTCCATTTCCAGTCAGAATTAAGATGGTGAGTCATGTAAAGATGACTGACATTATTACTTAAGAGTTATGAGTTATGACTGCAGAATAACTTATCTACTCATTGAAGCTATTAATTCTAGCTATAACCCTGCAAGTGCATATAGTCACTCGAGACATCTCTATACCTTGACTTGAAGGCTTGAACACTTCCTTTCATAGGAAGCACACACAAAATACCTACATGAAAGGAGTAAAGAAATTGATGATGACATACTGCAATCATGTTTATGGTACTGATACAGAAGGAAACAAATAATCAGAAACCACACAACGGAAGAGAAGTTTAATAAAGCAAGCTGTCGTACAGAGCAGGTGCCCTATATATTCATCGGAAGAAGGCAAAAGTAATTATCTGATGGTTTATAGATGGAAAACTTTAGAAGACCCCATAATTCAATTGCTAATGTGGTACTCATGGATATTCAAACGACAAAATATAAGCAACAAATTTCAAGTAACTCGGGTATTTAGAATTTCAAAAGCTTGAATAGAATTGAAATGTTAGCACATACTTTCACTTGCATAACATACCGTTAGTCCAAACGACAATTGAACTCCCTATATTTTAATCTGATCCACCAACAGATCTCTAACAAAGCCAATGCTATTAGGGTATTAATGACATGTGTTCTTGCTTTTAAGCCCATAACTCTAACCAAACCAACATATGTGCAACTCATCCAATTAGTGACATATGTTCTTGCCTTTTCCCCATATTTTAATCTAATCCACCGTTGGTTCTCTAACCAAACCAACCATTCAATGACAAAATTAAGGAACAATTATAATCCTAAAAGGTAGGTAGAAGGTAAAATCAGAAGGAAGAAAATGCCACAGTACCAAGAAGGTCCAACAGCATAGCACAGAGGACAATCAATCTACAGATTCAAATGTGCTTCTTCTTTGTGGAAAAAAATTAGATAGAGGTTTCTTGTGCTTACACTCTCGTCGAGGGTGGTATTCAGCCTGGACTTGTCCACCATATAGGCCAACTGCATTTGATATGCTTTCTCTTTCACCTTGTAAGCAATTCGATTGTTCTCATACATGTTCTGCTTCATCTGACCACATCCGGTCTCAGCTTCAACCTGTGGGAACAGGACAACAGTTTGCCATGGACGTGAAGGAACCTAAAAAGAAGCATTAGTTAGGATTGAATGTAAGAGTGATAATAATCATAACCAATCATAAAATCCCAACCATAACTCTTTGTCGTTTGTAGCAGAAGAGTGATACAGAAAGAGAGATTGATAAGTGTTCTATCATACTTGCGCATCTTCTTCTTGAAAAGTAGCACTATGACCTCTTTTGAGCTGCTTGGGAGAAACCCATTTCAGGCACTCCGACGTCAGTTTTAATTGCTCTGCAAGTGTGAAACGAACTGAATCAGATTGTGAAGTTCTAATTGCGAAGTTGAAGTGCATAAAACTGAATTATAAGTTCACACTGTCAAGTTGCAGTGCACAATTAGCTGCTCTTGCAGGTCTCCGTAGATGCATAGGGGGATCGACAAACAACCTCCATCATTGTTGGTCAAACAGAGTACAAACCTGCAGCAATGCAGACCATGAATTTGTGATGCTCTTGATACACAAATTCATTTAATTTCATTGGACCCTGCGTTTTCAGAAATAGCAGGAGCCATGACTTGGGAAACAAACTAAATCATGAAAGGCCAAGTCTCATAACTTCTATTGTACATTTATAAGAAAACCTTGTAATAGTAGATATGATTAGGTATAACAAACACTTCTGTATGTTGCAGACTTCAGAAAGAAGAGAGAAATGGGCTCGCTTGTCTAAAAGACCTGTTCTATGGGATAATAATGGAGCATACGAACACCACCCAACCTGGAAGCTTACCTAACCTGGAAATAATCTATGGAAATTAAGAGACTAATCCAAGACTTGATTCATCTATTGTCACTAATTACAAAATTATAACTAAATAAGGGGAAACAGTTATGAGTAACCATGAACGTCCATGTAAACAAAACAAATAAAGAGCAGCAGAGATATAATTGGGAAGATATACAGAGGGACCCAGTTGTAAATGCAGCGAGGAAGGCCTTGTCCTCCGTGGTGGCTTTTGTCGCCGATGCCGCTGCTCCCAAGCTGCCAGAAGATATTCAAGGAAAATAACAATAAGAATGAGAGAGATCTGGAGAAATAAAACTGACAATTTTTTTTGGCCACAGTAAAACTGGAAAGACAGAGACAAAGATAGCCATGTGTGAACCTGCTATTACTACTCCATTTGAAGCTTAGCTCCTGATCGAGCCTTTGTATCCGTCACAACTGCCAACCAAACCCGAAATAGTCCCGAACTTCTTTTCATACCCCTTGTCGTGGACAACACCAGAAGATCAAAACGAACACAAAAAATTGCTTATGCGCCTCTTGTCCCAGACCCAAAGGAAATCATGAAACTCCTAATTAAAAAGAAAGGATGCAGATAGAGGAAAGTAAGAGTTCATCAATCATCATACTCACATTAGCGATGATAAAGAACGAAGCTACATCTCTATCATAAAAGTTGGTTCCGCAGCGGTAGGGTGAAAAACAGAAATGTGAGAACATCGAACACGTCTTTTAGTTTACTCCTCCACAGTTATTGATATCCTCTACCTCCATATCCGATGGCGATGCTCTTCCGTTCGCCTCTCCTCCAACGACCATGTTGCGGCAGAGGATCTTGACTTCAGTGGGGTGGATCAATCTGTCGCTATTGGAATCGACCTACATCACAATTTCAGCCATCAAGAGGTGCAGACTTATGGACGACATTCTTTTCTTCCCTGCTCCACTTTTGGATTCGACCTGCACCACCATTTCTTCTACCCGACAAACTGTAGAGCAATCCCCTCGGTGTTTTAACTCCAATGGCCTTGGAAATCTGGTGTATCATTGGCAGCTTCACCACTTCTCTTATTAGGGCAACCTTCTTTTTCACCTCCTCCTTCGAGACACCGAGAGAGAGAGAGAGAGAGAGAGAGAGAGAGTTGGGTGGATTTTCGTTCTCCTCCTTCATTCCTCCTTCTTGGGCGATCCAGAAGCATGGGCGATGAAGTGTTTGAGTAGGATTGGTGAGTTCGCAATATTGAGAAGCAATCCGAAGTGGTGAGGAGACGGGAGATGATTGAAGCGGTGGCGTGCTAATGTGGATTTTGGGGTAAAATCGTGCGAGAGAGGAGGTAAGGTGGAGAAGCACAGCTGAGTGGTCAGAGGAGCAGAGGGGCAAAGCATGGTTGATCCGTGCAACACAGACAGATAAGGTATAGCTGGATCGGGGCGACCAGTAACGCTGGGGTGGGTTGAGGAGCTTTCCACTTGTAGAAGCCATTTTGCAGGAGGAATTGCGGTAGACGACAAGTAATGAAACATTAGTTGCAAGTTTGGGCCATACCCACTCTTTATATTTTAAAGAATGAGTCTAAAAGGGATAAACGTTAATTCTTGAGTGGTTATGCAAAGTATTATGTGTATATAATATATGTTAGATATATGACTAATTACTTAACTGGTTAATTTGGTTTGACTGGTTAGGAGTATCTGAAACCAAACCAAACCACCTAAACCAAACAAGCTAAAAAATTTAACCAAACCAAACCAATTATCCAAATAGTACCGGTTAAAATGGTTACCACGGTAACCAAACCGTTTGAACACCCCTACTTGTTAGCTAAATCATGCTTGACGTCAGAAATGTCATTTGCAAGAAAAATTGTTATAGACCCGAGCAGCGGGAGGATTATGTAATCATTAGCATAGTTCCCAGCATAGAGGTCTTCTCCACTAGGGGACTAGAAAGTATCAGCATCTTATTAACATCGACATGTTCAAGCAGGATGTAGATTACATATGGTATTAAATAAGTTATTTGATAATCAATTCAAAAATGAACAAATAAACTGACTAAGAGACAATCCGATTTTACATGGTGTCCCTCAAATGTTAGGACTAATCCACAGAAGAGTAAAGCACTCTGCTTATGTATAAGCTCAATATATGGAAATCGAGCAGCAAGAGGTAAGGCTAAAACCTATGTACATCACTCTCTATACAAGCTGGGTTGTCCTACGTGTTATTTGTTTACAAGGGCCAAAGACATCATGCTCAAAATATGTACAAAATGGATCATACAATTCTTTATTGACTAACAGCCTCTCCCAAATAAAGGTGGATCATATAGAGCGTTTGTCAGTAAAAAAGAACGGAAAACTGATTAAGTATCACAGAGTAGCAATTTGCTCGAGAGATACCAATGTGGACTTGAGAAAAAGGTTTTAGTCAGAAGATCAACAACTTGTTCATCAGTCTAAATATAGTGAAAAGTAATAGTACCATCATGAACTAAAAACTAATTAAGTATCATAGAGTAGCAATTTGCTCGAGAGATACCAATGTGGACTTGAGAAAAAGGTTTTAGTCAGAAGATCAACAACTTGTTCATCAGTCTAAATATAGTGAAAAGTAATAGTACCATCATGAACTAAATCACTAATATAGTGCACATGGATCTCAATATGTTTTGTATGGTCATGAAGAACTCGGTTAACAACAATGCAGATAGCACTAATGTTATCCACCAAGAGATTCATAGGAATCGGGCAAACCATAATCAATTCAGCCAGGAGACGACAGAGCTATACAAGTTCAGAGGAGACATCAGATATACAATGATATTCCGCCTCAATGGATGACTAGAGGCCTTATCTTTTTTCTTGCAACTCCAAGAAACAAAGGCATCCTCAAGCTGAACACACCACGAACTTTGTCTTCTCTCCTCAGCGATTATCTTGATCCGCCAGACGCCTTGTATTGATGGGCTTCTCGGTACAAGGACTTTACCGGACGTAGAACTCGCTTTGATCTGCTTCCAAAATGCGGAACTCTCTTTCATCCGCCAAGCCCAAACGTGGATCTCTCCCGGATCCACCAAACCGACGCGAATCACCTTTGACTCGCCAGACGGACGCATATCTCAATTCCCGAGGTCACCGAATGAGGGGCCCACCAAATTGACATTCACCGCCTTGAACCCGAACTAGGCTCTGATACCACTTGTCATAACCGGGGCGCTCAATTAGTACGATATTGTCCGCTTTGGGCCAAGCCCGCACGGTTTTTACTATTGGGTGTCCTCCCTAAACGGCCTCGTACTAATTGGGCTAGGTGGACACTAATACACAAGGGTCCCTTCCCTTGTATTACCGATGTGGTACTTGGATTTCCCTCGTAACACTAAACATGTACATTTCCCCCCAACTTATTTAACGGAATATACCTCTTCAAAATGACAACCATATCTAGGGGGCGACTCTAAGTAACATTGAGTTGTAAAAGTGAAAAACTCAACGCGTTCACAGGAATGCATGGGTACCTCAAAAGATCATATTATAATATGATGAGAGCTTTGAAAGTTCAAAATGAAGCATGGTTGGTTCTTGGAGAGTTCAATGCAATTCTGGATTCCTCGTAAGCTTCTAATGGTACCTCACCTAGGGCAAGTGGAATGGAGTTTAAGGATTGGCTAGATGAAATGGAGTTGGATGAACATAAGGTTGTTGGAGACTATTTCACATGGATTAACAGGCAAGTGTGTAATCCTATTGCAAGGAGAATTGACCATATATTCATGAACGGGGATGGTTAACCAAATATCCCGGTAGCTTTGCCACTACAATTATCCCTGGTGTTCATTCTGACCACTGTGGGTTGCTGCTGAACTCAGTCCCTTATCAGAAAACCTTGCCAAAGCCATTTAAGTTTTTTAGTTTTTGGTGTGAACATCCTCGATTCAAGGACCTGTTGCAGGAAATTCGGAGTACAAGAGTGACTGGTTATTCTTTGTACAAGGTTTGTTTCAAGTTGAAATTTTTAAAGAAGAAGCTTAAAGAGCTCAATAAAGAATTCTACTTGGATATATCAATCAGAGTAAGGAAGGCAGAGCAAGATCTGCTATGCATACAAGCATAGGTTTTCCTTAATCCTTCTCATTCTCTTTTGGAACAAGAGGCTAAGGCAGCAACTGAGTGTCTTATGTATCAGAAGGCGAAAGAGGGGTTTTTAGGAAAAAAGCCAGGATTCAGGCTATTACTGAAGTAGATAATTATTTTTATCAGTTCTTAAGGGTTAGACAACATAGAAACAATATATATGCTCTGAAGAAAGATGATGAGAGTTTGGTCACTGATGTTGAGGAAATTGGGCAAGTAGCAGTGGAATTTTATAAGAATCTATTGGGAGAGAAAAATTATGAAGTAATTAGTAGTTCAGTGGAGAGCATTGAGGAGTTTTTGGTTCATAAACTATCAGAGGTTAATGTTGAGTGCTTATGTAGAAGTGTTACTGATGAAGAAATAAAAGAGGCTCTCTTTAGGATGGGTTCCAACAAGGTCCCTGGACCTGATGGATACATAGTTGAATTTTATAAAGTTACTTGGCCTGTGGTGGGACTGTTGCAATAAGATCCTTCTTTGTTACTGGCTTTCTCCCAAATGAACTTAACTCAACCGTTTTGGCATTGATTCCAAAGGTATTAGCTGCTGACCATATGAAACTTTTTCGTCCAATTTCTTATTGCAATGTATTGTATAAATGTTTTGCAAAGATATTGGTTAATAGATTATCAGTGGTTCTGCCTAACCTGATTAGTAAGAGTCAAGTATGCCTTTGTTAACGGAAGGTGTATTAGTGATAATATTCTCATGGCTTCTGAGTTACTTGCGGGTTATAATAAGAAGCATATGTCTCCAAGAAGCAATATGAAACAACCTCATGAAAGCATTTGATTCAATAGATTCGGATTTCTTAACTAGTTTTATGAAGGCTATGGGTCTGTCTCTTCAGTTTATATAGTGGATTAGAAATGTGTTACAACCCCCATGCTAAGTTTAGCAGTGAATGGAGGTACTTGTGGCTATTTTCCAGCTGCGAAGGGACTTAGACAAGGAGACCCCCTCTCTCCTTTCCTCTTCTCCATTGTAATGGAGGTGCTCTCTTGTATTCTGAACAAAGCAGCAACATCTGGTGAGGTCCCTTACCATCCTAGATGTAAGAGGTTAGGTATAACCCACCTTGTGTTTGCAGACGACTTATTGATATTCTATAACGGGTCAACACAAGCGGTCGACAGTGCGTGTGGGTTGTTGGACAGATTCTATTGCTTATCAGGTTTAAGGAATTCCAATTTTTACAAGTCTCTTAGCAAGAAGGGGATTTCCCTCTACCAAGGTCAAAATGGCATGAGAGTTGGAAATGAAAAAACGCAACACAACCTTCATGAAAATACCTCATAACTTGTATTAAAACACAACCACACACAAGTCATTCAATCCATACAAACATTCACATAATTATAGCTAGGGTTTACAAACAATCAAGTGAAAAAAAGGACTACTCCATGCTAAGTAGATGGAATACACTAAGGAGAAGAGAAAAAACCATCTTGATGATGTTTGCCTTCTTCCTTGTGGTGTGGAGATCAACCTTCGAGGAAGAAATTCCCAAAACTTTGCTCTTGGATGAACCCTAACTTATCCACCTTCTCTTGTTCGTCACTTTCTCACTCTAAAAATCTGAAGAAGAAGTCTATCTCACTAGGTTCTCTATTTTCTCTTTTAGCTCAACCCTCCTTATATACCCAGATCGACGGCATTTCACGGTCATGAACATTGGGCTTAAACTATGATGTCAAGCAAAAGTACGCCTTTTCACTTAAGCGCTTCACGGTCTGGAGCGGGTTTTCACGGTCAGATGACCGTGAAATGATGAACACCCACGAAGCGTGCAAAACCCTCCTGGAATCCATGCGCTTCACGGTCTGCTCCCTTCTTTACGGTCTGGTGACTGTGATCTGTTGGCCTCCACCCTGAACTGATGTTGTTTGCTCCCTTTAGACCGGTTTTTGCCCCCTTTTTGTCAAACTTTCGTTCCATGGGTTGATTTCACCTATTAGGATCTGCAGCATACTAAAAACAACCACAACCTAGCGTAAAACCGAACCGTATAGAGTAAAAGTGACTCAAACATCTAACGAAAACTGGGGTAAAAGGTGTACAATTAGACCCGAATCACTCCCCCACACTTTGACAGTTGCTTGTCCCCAAGAAAACCAATTCCAAACAAGGTAATATCTCAACCTAACAAGATAACTTGGGGACATATCGAAGGGCTCAAAGCGGGTGAATCTCAATGGCTATTAGGCATCAACACATGAACCGTTACAAGCAATACCACTATCCACCACAAACGACATTCGAAATGCATTAAGAACGTGCAAATGAAAAGTTCTCACCTTGTTCACAAATCAGTACAAGTCTCCACACGACTACTCACCAACAACAACTAACCATGCACAGAGTTCAAGTCCAAGGAACAAACGAATGGGCAACATAGATCCTCACTGGGATAAGATATGAACATGAAAAATGTGACTGAATCACTCACTATCGACCAATGGGGTCAGGACCATTTGGTGTAAAAGATGTGGACATTCATCAACACTCGGTCCTATCGTCTCTTCACCATGACGGCAACCTCTAAATGCTAGAGTTCACAAGATTGTTGTCATCACTAGGTTGTCTGGAGGTTTTAGACACGGGTTCAAATGACTGGCAAGGGTCTTGGACATGGGGAAAAGGCCTTGGTGGCAAGCAAAGCATGAGGTTTTACATCTTTAACTAAACCCAAGGTTCTATGGTTTTGACTAGAACCTTTCCTACAACCAACGACCACTAGCATCGGCCACAAAAACCACACTTCCCTTCTTCCTAACCATCACCACCACGAACTACATTCAAGCACACTTCCTCGACTAATCCTGCTATCCAAATTTCAATCATAGTAATAAAGGAGGTCAACAATCAATTAGGTGTTTCAATGACTTGAGTGCCAAGAAACCATTTCTAGAGCAAAAACATCATCATTTATTGGAACTCTCTAACTTGTATTTACCCCATTTATTACCTCTTTTTTGATTTTTTTCCTACTTTCCTTTTCTTTTTCTTTTCTCGTTTTCGAGGGGGGTACTGGAGAACTAAACACATGCCACTACAACACTTAATGAACAATGCTCTCTATTAAGAACTTCCTCCAACACTACCTTTTCATTCCTAGCGGGAACCGTGCAAAATCCACCTATGTAGAACCTCATTGGAGCTCAAAAGCGAGAGCTCTATGACACAAGGATGGCTCACAATGATTTATACATGAAGAAAGGAAAGGGTCTTTCTATCAATCACCATTAAGCTAAAAAATCACAAGCTCTTTAAGTTGAGAACGACCCAAAGTCACACAAAGGGGTTGACTAGGAGATAAGATGTTTCGGGACAATCAACTTTTGGACGTGGACTAATCCTATGCCTCCAACATACTTTTGGAATTCATATAAGGTGATACATACACCCCCCCCCCCTTGGGACTCAATGTCCTCGTTGAGGTTTTTCCCACCATCATTCAAGAGAGACGCGAAGAGGCTCTGATACCACTTGTAACATCCCAAACCTTTTCGCGATGAAGATATTGTCCGCTTTGAGCCTCAACCCTCACGGTTTTTTACTTGGCGCACAATTCAAGGTGACTTCCCATAAGGTCACCAATCCTTGTTGTACTCTACACTGAGCATGTTTAACTTCGGAGTTCTCACAAGAACTGAGAACTCCTCAATCTCACCCAAAAACGCGTCGTGTCAGTTAAGGCCAGTTTCTTACTTATGAACAATGGATCTCTCTCATCCTTTGTCGATGTGGTATTCGCCTAAGGTGTTACATAAGGTCACCCATCCTTGTTGTACTCTACACTAAGCATGTTTAAATCATCTTGGTAGGCTTTAACATAACTCGTTCATGCCTTTTGTCTCGACCGATTCGTACACATTGGCTTAATCTCTTGGTCAGGGTTCTTAGTGGCTTAACTAAATGTGCATGATTTATCCTTAACTAGTCGCTTCCTTTGGATGACATCCTACTATGCCGCACCCATTTAGAGTGGGGGACCTTGGATAAGGTAACTTAGTGCTTTCCTCTTCCTCGGTAATGCTTTTCCTCATTGTACTTCTTTATGCAGCTTCTCAAACTCGAGTCACCTATGGATATTCGCACTCCTTTATCAAAATTTACATGTTCTTCCTCGAATTCATATAATCTACTACATTGCTAGTACCACTTCCCTGTTAAGGACATAGAGATAGATGGCTCCTTAAAGTCCACCACTACTTATAGTTTCCTTACCAACCACTAAATTATTTAGCGATACATTCTCACAAAGGAGCTTGCAACTCCCACTTTAGACTTGCCCAATGGATTCCTTGAAATCTCGCCAAACTCCCCCTCACCTTCTTGCTCTCTCCTGGTATCGTACCCCAATCCTTCTTATCACGACCATTAAATATCTTCCTCGAATTCTCTGCCATTTGTGAGAACTTCCATTGAACGTGCTACTCGCTTGTCCATACCCAGTTGGCTAAAGATCTACATAATGATATTCATTTTTTATGTTTTGTCAAACATAAGACCCCATACCAACATCATATCAGTGATAATATTATTATATGATCCTGATATGATGCCGTCAAATTATTTTGTCAAACATAAAACCTTATACCAACATCATATCACTGTCGTATCAACATCATACCACTAAGATATCATAATTCAATCACGGTCAGTGTTAATAACGTGATATGACAGTGGTAAAATGATGTAAAATAATTTCCTCCAAAAATATCAAAATAGATATTATCTTGTAGAGCACTAAATTTATGATTTTTTGTGCAAATTTTTTTTGAAATCCAATGTAAAGGAATGAGCTATGATCCATTGAATTTTTGTTAGTGAAGTTAAAAGTGCTTTAAAGGACCCCTGGCGATCCGCACCAACATAAGAAAAGAGAAAGGGAACACAAAAGATACACTGCACCTAACCGCAGAAGGAAAATGCAGGTTTTAAATTCAAATGTCACAAATATACTCCTTCATGTTAAGGACCATTAGATCACTCTTCCCACCAATTTGAGTCATAGGTATGAGTCTTGTAGTGCTACAAAACCCATGAGTTTTGTATCAGAACCTCTACCATAATTTTTTTTTTACTTTTTTTCCTTTCGAATCGATATCAGTTTGTTTTGCAGTAAGAAAATATGATGAATATTTGATACTTAAAAAAAACTCTTTGTTATCTGAAGTAGTGAAAGCGAGGTGCGAGCGATTGCCTGACCCGCAACCCACCCAAATGGGTGTAGATAATAAATTTTCTAGTCACGTTCCACACCAATCACCTACTCACTACGGTTTTAGTTATTTACCAGCGGATCAATATTAAATTGCAGGTTACCCATGTCCACCTTAATTATTGGGTGTAATTCTGCGAGGAACCAATTGACAACTATTAAATGTTCACCCGCAACTACTAGTTCAAAATTTTTAGGTCTAAGTCAAGTTCTCTCCCTTCTCTCTTCTCCTTTCTCCAAACCACGTCTGCGGTTAAGCTTCCTCAGACCATTATCGCCGTCGTGCGACTCTGATTTCGCTCTTCCTGGCGACGTGCCTCCGCATTCCAAGCGGTTGGCTTTCTTAATGGAGACGATCGACCCCCTTATAAGGAGTCGATTGAGAAAATTTGGGGTTCATCTCCTTCCTGTTGCATCTTTTCCCCCTTTTTATTTTCCTCTATTTCCTTTGATTGCAATGGCTGCCGAGATTGTTGTTGTGTTCAATGATGAAATAATTGCTATGGAGGAAGAACGAGCATATCTAATTCTCCGAGGGAAGATCCATGGACCAGGCCTACCCCCTGGCAGCCTCCAACAGTTCTTGGGCGAATTTTGAAGATGCAATGGCCTGGTGATGGTTCTGGCGGCTAACGAGGAATCAAACCAATTCATCTTCTAAGATCCAAGTGACCATAAGAGATTGTTGGACTCCACCCCATCAATCATGCCAGGATTTCTCATTCACTTCTGTGCCTAGTGCTCGCCGACCAAAGAGGTGCTGTCGAGATGGATCGTGTAATCCTCTCGGTCCAATTCTCGAAAGTCCCAACAGAAGGAGACACTGTTCTGATCGATGTCTGGGTGTGGCTATGGGTGATCTCAAGGAAGTTGTTGTTCGTGTTGGGAGTATCACTGGCGGAGTCTACTTGCTCGCTAAAGTGGGATTGGATGTCAAACTCCCTCTCCCCCAATCTGTACATGCTGCTCATGAGTATTCCATTAAGGGTTCCTTCAAGGTTGTTGTTTTATATGAAAAACTGCCCCTGTTCTATTTTTGTTGTGGTGTGTAGGACATACTAGCTCTCACTTTCCTTCAAGGTTGTTGTTTTATATGAAAAACTGCCCCTGTTCTATTTTTGTTGTGGTGTGTAGGACATACTAGCTCTCACTTTCCTTCATATGGGAAGCATATCTTGGCCTATGACAAAGGACCAAAGGTGAATGAATTCACCATACGAAGGAGGATGACTCATTTTTCTTGGAACTGCCAATCGGCCAGGCAAAATCTTGTGAGGTTGGGGCATGCTAGTGTTGAACGCCAAAGGAAGAGTCTCCCATTCTCGGCTGATCAGAGCACCTCATGGATCCATATATTGTCCCTATATCCATCACATGAGGTTGGGCTTCCTCTCTGGGAGGCCTGTAACATCCCGAACATTTTCCCGACGAAGATATTGTTCGCTTTGAGCCTCGACCCTCACGGTTTTTGACTTGAGGTGCAATTCAAGCTGACTTCCCATAAGTTTTGATGAAGATATTTTCCGCTTTGAGCCTCGATCCTCATGGTTTTTGAATTGGGGTTAAATTCATAGTGATTTCCCATAAGGTCACCCATCCTTGTTGTACTCCACACTGAGTACGTTAAACATTGGAGTTCTTGTTGGAAGAAGCTTGATTAATGGCACCGAGAAATTATGGAAAGAAGAATAAGCAGCAAGAATAAAAAAGGGGAAGTCTTGCTATAAAGATCAGATGCAGCAATCAAGAGATTTGATCACTCAAATCATAGCATCAATGGTCAACAAGCAATAGTGTATAAAGGGTAGAATAGTGGGGTGAACAATCATCTTTTTCGAAATCATTCAATCAGGTTACAGAGAGTACTTGTCATAGAATAGAAAAAGAGAGAGTTGTCAGGGAGATAGCTTGAGAGTCAGTAGTGATATCAAAGTCAAAGTTTTGTAGGGAGTAGACCTTTGAAAGGGATTCTGATCTGTGACAGGGAGTCACCAAGAGATTGGTTGTTGTATTATGCAACTCGGATACAAATCATCATAGTGGATCGCCAAAGGGTTCAAGCAGAACTCCTTTGGCCGTGGACTAGTCGGTATTGCACATTGCATACCGGAAACCACATAAAAATCTGGTGTTATCATTTTTGTTCTTCAGTTTCTGTTTGCTCAAGTTGTGGTGCTCTGTTTTGGTATTGTGTGCAGGGTTCTGGAATTGAAAGCCGATCTAAGGAGGAAGAAGGAGAAGTTCGGAATACTAAACTCCCCGTTTCAAAGTTAAACGCCGAGTATTGTTATATTCTACCACCGGGCCACTTTCTTCAAACATGTCACTTTTAATTTTTATGTGGCAAGCAATTTTGGGCTGAAAGTAAGTAAATCCCATTAGACTAATTAGAAGTCAAACAAGAAACCTAGGCGTGGTAACATCTTCTTTCGATCAAAAACTGCTCCTTATGTCTTTCATTCTATTTTATTCTTCGAAACAAAATTCAGAAACCCTAACCACAGAAAACCCAGAAAGAAATTTGAGTGTTTGCAGGAAACACTACAAGAATCTCGCGCTCGATTCAACCAACATGTGGTAGCAGAGCCCGGCTCCGACAAAGAAGGCTTAACAACCTTTGGTGAGAATGAGTTCGAGCTCGATGAATGGAAATGGAGTTTTCATGGCTGACGGATTCTCACAAACCCGACCACCAAGGTTTGAGGGAGTGCACTATGGTTATTGGAGAAACATAATGGAGCTCTTCATAGGGTCCACGGATTCTGATCTGTGGAACATTGTTCCTGATGGTCCACTCAAAGTGAAGGAAGCCAGAGGAAAGTGGATTGAGCAAGACAAGAAGAAATTTCAATTGAACTCGAAGGCAACAAACTTGATGTACAGCGCTTTGGGGCTTGAGAAGTATCATCGGATCACTAGATGCAAGATAGCTAAGGAGATTTGGGACAAACTCCAAGTCGCACATTAAGGTATATCACACGTAAGGATTTCCAGAATCAAAAAGCTTAAACAAGAGTTTTAGATGTTTGTGATGAAGTCAGAAGAGTCCATAAAAGAAATGAACGACAGGTTCAGTACCATAGTTAACAGTCTGAGAAATTTGGAAGTTGAGTATGCAAGTGGTGATCTGGTTCGTAAAATCTTGTGGGCACTTCCTAAGAGGTGGAATCCCAAGGTGACTGTAATTGAAGATTCTAAGGACCTAACCAAGTTGAGTCTGGATGAACTTATGGGATCTCTGGTCACTCACGAAAATAAACTAAGAAGAGAAGAAAGGGAAGAACCTAGAAAAGAGAAAAAGGGTATAGCATTCAGAGTTTCTGAACAAGAAGAAGAATTGGACAGACTAGAAGATATGGAGGATGATGAACTAGCCATGTTGAGTAAACATGTGGCTAAACTAATCAAGTTGAAAAAAGATAAGAAAAGAGGCAGCTTCATCAGTCGCTCAAAGGAAGCTGAGTCAGACAAAGATCAATCCAAGCCCTCTCAACAAATATCAAGATTCAAGAAAGAAAGAAATAAACGGGAATGAGAAGAGTGCTTCTCAAACTGGGTGTTTCAAGTGTGGAAGAAGTGGACACATAAAAGCTGAATGCCCACAACTGAGACAAGAAAAGGCCTATGTTGCTACCTGGAGCTGCGGTGAAGATGATGATGATGAAGCAGAGGCTGAAAAAAGACAAGATGCACTCATGGCAATTGGAGAAAGTGACGATGAATGCAACTCGTCACAGGTAAGATCACTAAACTACTATTCTGAGTCTGATAGTGAAAATGGTGAAATTAGTGAAACCATTAGAGATATTTAGATTGAATTAAAAAATGTGCAGGTAAAGCATTCAAAACTCAAGTCTGAATTTGAAAAGTTAACTGAACCACATAATAAACTAAAAGAGGAAAAGGTAAGTGCAGATTTACAGTTGAATGAAGCCTTACACATGGATGAAAAATTAGAAGCAAAGTTAGCTGAATACAAGAGAAAAAGTGAAACTGTAAGTAGGAGGAGAACATATGCCAAACATAGGAAAACAAGTCATTTGGTAGGTAATCATAACCCGATAATATAGAGTGTTTTTACTGTCATCAAACAGGACATTACCTTGCTAACTGTAAGAGAAGAATAGCTAAGGAAGATAGACAGAAATCCACAGTGTGTTTCACGTGTCATAAACTTGGACATAAGAGTTATGTATGCTCAACTCCTAACTCAAAGGTTAAAATTTCCATATTAGTGTGGTTACCAAAAGGAAAATAAGCATCATTGTTGAATTAGGTCTGCTTCCAAGTGAGCATGGAAGACAGTAAGTGGATTCTGGATAGTGTCCTTTTAGAGTGGGGAACCTTGGATAAGGTAACTTAGTGGTTTCCTCTTCCTCGGTAATGCTTTTCCTCATTGTACTTCTTTATGCAGCTTCTCGAACTCGAGTCACCTACGGATATTCGCACTCCTTTATTAAAATTTCCATATCCTTCCTCAAATTCATAGAATCTACTACATTGCTAGTACCACTTCCCTGTTAAGGACATAGAGATAGATGGCTTCTTGAAGTCCACCACTACTTTTAGTTTCCTTACCAATCGCTAAATGATTTAGATACATTCACACAAAGGAGCTTGCAACTCCCACTTTAGACTTGCCCAATGGATTCCTTGAAATCTCGTCAAACTTCCTCTGACCTTCTTATGATGACCAGTAAAACTCTTCCTCGACTACTTTGCCATTTGTGAGAACTTTGATTGAACGTTCTAATCGCTTGTCCATACCCGGTTGGCTAAATGAATCATTTTTATAGCAAGTTCCAAGATTCTAACTCTTAGCCCACATCATTCCAACCCACAACGGAGGCTCCTACTTATGTCATCTATTAGGTACCCTAGGTGGCTAGGTTCTCCTTCCTTTTAAGATAGAACAACCCCCGACAGGTCAAGACATGTCGAGCTCTTGGCTTTTCTTATTAGAGTTTTTGGATTCCCCCCTTCAGCGGTCCAACGATGTTCCTTGCATTCCTCTGTTTCTTCCCTTACTTGATCATGGTAATTTGCAGGGTCTATCAACCCCTTATTATACTTGTCTTCTAGCTTGCTCTTGGTAGGTGTATATCGTGCTTGACCCAACCTCATCCTCTACCTCATTTATTTTGTTGCTTGTCTTGTTCCTTCTAAAGGCTTGACATTGGCCTAGTAGAAAAAATCCTTGTAGTGTTCCTTCAACTTCTTCTAAACCTCGTACATATACCATGGGGTATCCCTTTGCGATAGGCACATATTATACTAGGACTAGAGTTATTTACCTTAATAATATTAGAGTAGACTGGAGATTCTATAAACTCTAAGAAGAAAATCCTTTTTCGTTTTCCTTTCCTTTAAGAACAAAATTCGTTAAAACTGAGATCGATATTCCAGTATTCCTTGGGAACCAAGGAATAGAGGAAGACCAGGCTCTGATACCAAAATGTAACACCCTATTTCGGTCGGACACTACTTTTACAAAAAAATACCCTTGATTAAACCAAAAATTCTCAAGAAGCATAAACGCTAAATGCAGCGGGAAATCTTTTTCATAATTAAAATGCTGAAAACACATTCTTGTAGTTCAAAGCAATGCCCTAACACTTGGGCAAACTCAAAACCTTAAAATCATAATCTCTAGTCTTACTACTAAACATAAAGTACAATAACCAGAAGTCTATGCAGATGCTTGCTCCAATCCGATCTGCGACGTCCTCCGAGATGCTCGTACCGTTCTCCTCCAGCTGGCTCCCTCGAACCGTTTCTCTCGCTCTCACTACTCTCTAACTCCTTCTTTAGATATTCCTCTTCAAACTGGTGAGTGAGTTGGGGTCAGTCTACGCCCTTACGTTTAAAATTCCTTACGCCTAGCACTTTACTGAAAACACTTGCTGAAATTGGTGGAAGTTGTTTGTACTTCTACTCTTAAAACTATTAACTCTTAAAACTGTATGGGAGTTTATGTTACTCTCTATTTTTAAAGCTCAAATCTCAACTTAAATATTTGACTAACACGGGGATCCCTCACTAGCTAGTCCGGTTGCCCAACTCATACGTATGAGAGCCCGTCCAGGCTTTCCTTAAACTTTAACTTAGTTAGGGGAGTCGTAATGATTCATCCCCCTAACATCTTAAACATATCGTGGTGGCTCTTCACCATGATTCTCAGGAGCATAATTGTTGCTCATCTTAAATGTATCAAGAGCATAACTACTGCTCTATCTCAAAATCTCAAACGGCAATTGAGTGGCGCTAGTGACTAAAAACACTTGGAACTACTTCACCTTCACTGTAGGTGAAATACTTCTTAAAAGATAACTTGTTTCTTAAACTTGAACTTACTTGTAAGTAAAGCATGCAATAAGATGTAACTGAAAGAATGCTCAAACAAACTCACATGGCATCATATAAACACATAAAGGCAAGTATGGCACATAGTAGTTAAAGTCAAAAACTTAAATATCGTAAGGCATAGTATTTACCCCCTTTGCACTCACCTTAGTAATCATCAGTCCATGAACCTCGATTATTGTTAAGGTGGATTGACCCTGTTGCCGCCTCTCATTGGATCACCATTCCATTTTCATTCCTACTGTCGTAGCTAACCCAACCAAAACACCCATCAATTCAATAAAGTTGCCACCATACCAACCATGAGCACTCCAGACAAGAATCCCTCTAGAGGATGGAGAGATACCCCCCTTGTCTAAGGCATTTTGTGTTGTAGACAGAGAGGAGAATTCTGCTGATGATGACACTATTAACCAAATGGAGGATACAAGCCTCGTTTGGTCCCAGCCTCAGATAGAGTATCTTGGCATGGAATTGTCGGGGTTTCGACAAATCCCTGGCGCGAAGGTCCCAACTCTCTGCCGTACTTAGTAGATTTCCTATGCTTGTGTTTCTTTGTAAGAAGAAATGTCGTGATAGGAAGGTCAAGTCTCATCTTACTTGTCTAGGTTTTATTGAGTCAGTTTTAGTTAGTCCTATCAATACCTCAGGAGGTATGGCAATCGCTTGGACTGCAGATGTTCAATGTATACTTACATCTCATTCAGAGTCTTAAGTGAACTGTGTTCACCAAGTATATGGTGTCTTTTTAGTTATCTTTGTTCATTTGAGTTGTACTCAGAACATTCAATCTGACCAATTGAATGAAATAACTCTTTTTTATTTCGTCAGCTATTGTCCCTTACTTCATCTTTGGTGATTTCAACTATATATTATCTTATGAGGAAAAGCTAGGAGGACGAGTTCCTGCTCCCCACTCGTTATCTATTCTGCATGCCCTTGTCCGGAGTCTAAATATCCAAGATCTTGGATTTCATGGCCCTCCTTTCACTTAATTGAATAGAAGATCCCCCCAAGAGCATATTATGGAATGGCTTGACAGATGCCTAGCATCTTCATCATCCATCAACATCTAGGAATTAATGCTAGTCCATCACCTCTCTAACCTAGGCTCGGATCACAAAATGCTCTTTCTTCACCTTCATCAAGCTGATGCCCAGTCTAAAGCTAACTTCCACTTTGCCTGCCGGTGGATTGAGAACTTAGAAGCTCAAGGAATCCTATATGCCGAATGGCAACAACCAAATAGCGGCACATTGCAATTCCAGCTTCACAATATGCTGAAGTCTGCTCGCCATCAACTCTTCTCATGGAAGCCAAAGGTACGACAAACTTAGCCCGAACTATTCGAGAACATAAAGATGTTATCTCTTCCTTGCGGGAGACTATTCTCATTGACTGGCAGGCAATTGGAGCTCTGGAACATCAACTATCAGACACATATCTACAAGAAGAGATATACTGGCAACAGAAGTCCCGAGAAAATTGGCTAAATGTAGGCGATGCTAACACTAGATTTTTCCATCTTTACGACTCTGCAACGGAGGAAGAAGAATCAGATTCTTTCCCTGCGTGATGTGGATGGTGTACTGCACTCGGATGAAGTAACTACAGGTTTGATAGCTGTTCAAAACTTTCAAATTATGTTCTTATCTGAATGTTGTATACTGCGAACATCATCTTGAATGTCGTAGAGTTCGTGGATTGCCTAGGATTGCCTCAACTAGTTACAACTTCCATGAATGAAATACTAATAGCTCTGATATCCAAGGATGATGTTTGTCATGTTGTTTTCAGCATAGGAGGTTACTAGGATCCTGGTTTAGACGACTTCACATGCATCTTATTTCAATCATTTTGGGGCTTAGTAGGAAATTCAGTTGTGGCTGTTGTGTTAGAATTCTTTCAAACAAGCCATCTTTTACCTTATTTCAATCATACTTGGATTACCCTTATCCCAAAGAAGCCCAATGCGGAGTTAATGAGTCAAATGAGACCGATTGGATTATGCCAAGTCCCATACAAGATAATCTCCAAGATCCTCACAACGAGATTAGGTGAGATTCTATCGAGTATAGTAGGTCTTTTTCAAAACGGGTCTGTCAAGGGTCATAATATTTTAGATAATATCTTGTTAAGGCAAGAGGTTATGCATTTCTTGAAAACCAAAACTCAAGGGAGGGAGAAATAGATGGCTCTAAAATTAGACATAGAAAAAGCATATGATAGGGTGGATGGGAATTTCTATTCACTCTCATGCAACGTTTGGGATTCTGTGAAACTTGGTTGAATTAGATTAGAGAATGCATTACTATAGTCTCATTTTCTGTTCTAATCAACAGCAAGCCTCATGGTTTCTTTATCCTAAGCGTGGGATTCGATAGGGAAACCCTTATCGCTATGCTCTATGCACTTTATACTGAGGGTTTCTCAGCTCTTCTCAAACAAGCAATAGAAGCTCAATTCCTGCATGGTCTGAAAATTCACCATCGTTGCCCGGTGATGTTGCACCTCTTCTTTGCAGATGATACTTACCTTTTTCTTCGTGCCTCTTTCCCAGAATGTCAAAAACTGTTATCTCTTTTTGCTTCTTATCAACAGATAAGTGCGCAGAAAGTTAACTTACAAAGATCCACAGTAACATTCATTAGTAACGTGTTGGATACAGAAGCTGCAGACATTCAATCTCTTCTGGGAGTAGCAGTTGGAGGACCGCAAGATCGTTACCTTGGGCTGCACAATAGAATTTCCAGATCCAAGCAAGAGACCTTTCAGTTTATTGAAGATCAACTAATATCCAGATTACAACAGTGGAAGTCCAAATCACTATCTCTAGCTGACAAGGAGTTCTTATTGGAATCCATAATGAATTCTCTACCCAACTACGCTATGCTTAGATTTCGAATGACGACTACCTTCTGCAGAAGATTGAATGGACATCTAGCGCGGTTTTGGTGGGAACAACAAGATCGAGATGAAGGTGATTCGGGTCTAATAGCACATGTTTTGCCCCCGTTTTACTTAGGTGTTTGTGCCAAATTCACTCCTTAAAGGTTGGTTTTTCGCTAGGTTCTTCGTGTTTGAGTGGTTTAAGGATTTAACGGGTGGAACCAGCCTTAGAGTCGAAATATTGGCGAAAAGGATCGAAAACTGGGAGAAGAGGTGAAAAAGAGCCAGTTCACGACTAACCAAGGGAGTTCACGGTCTTGCATGACCGTGAAGAAGAGGATTTGACTGTGAATCGCGAGGCTTCCAGACCCAAAGTGAAGGTTACTGGCACAAGGCGAGTTCACGGTCACTAAGACCGTGAACAAAGGCAGTGGACCGTGAACTCGAGTGAACGATGTGGCGCGTTTTGGCGCACGTCTGCAGTTCACGGACGCGTTTCAATGTTCACGACCGTGAACTGCTCAACGCATCCTTGAACTAAGACCATGAATTGCTCAACGCGTCCTTGAACTCAGCTCTAAGACCTTGAACTGAGCCTGATTTGGATATAAAAGGTGAGGGGAGCTGAAGGAGAAGAGAAGAGCTGGTTTTTGGAGAAGAAACACTTTCTCTCTCTAGGGTTTCAACCTAAACACCAAAGGGGAGTTCTAGTGAGAGAGAGAGAGAGAGAGAGAGTACTTGAGTGATCTTGGAGCATCATTGGAGGCTTGGGTGGAAGATCAAGCCTAGAAGAAGAAGATATTGAGCTCAAATTTGTAATCCCACTCTCTCTCTCTAGAAACTCACTCTTTTCTCTTGGGTGTTGTAGATCCCTAAATAATACTTTGTAATTATTTGTTTAGATTGACTGATTGTCATTGGGTATTGATTCATTCAAGGATTGAGGTATTATTCATGTCGATTGTGCATGCTTGTGCTTAGCGATCTAAGGGTTGTGCATGTTTTGTGCTTAGCATCCTTAGGTTTGTGCATTGCGGTGCTTAGCAACCTAAGGATTGTGCATAGCACCCTTAGGTTTGTGCATGTTGGTTCTAGCAATCTAATTAGCCACTTTAACCTAGGTTAATTTAGGACAAACATCAATGTTGAATTAAGCAAATTGGTTAAGCGTGATTAAGTCGTCCAACCTTGAGTTGAGTGTGGGAGTAAGTCAACTACCGATTGTCTAAACCGAAAGGGTCGAGTGACACGGCCTTTCATGCTTAATTCGGTTTAGCAATTGAGATTGTGGTCTCCGCCCACATATGCATCCCTCTATGGATCGCTAGTTGCTCCTCCTAGTGGTTCACCTAGACTTGGTGAGTGGATCGATCTCATGACAGATTGATCACTAGTTGCTCACCCCCCGAGGTTCACAATCACCTACGCCTCACGACTTCATTCAATCCAACAAGTTATGGTAGCTAGTTAGGGGGAAGCAACTCTTGGGTGAAGCTCCCTTAGTTAGACTTTTCCTTTATTTATTTTTCCTTGATAGTTTAGTATGTAGGTCCATTAGTTATAAACCCAAAAGTTGCTTGCTAGATAACAACCTAAACGATTGAAGTAGGGGTACATGGATAGACCCGGGTTGACAATTTAAATACTTGCTCTATACTGCACCCGACTAGAGTTTAAAAACTTGGGCTCGAGTCGGAATTAATTTGTGGTGTAGTTTCATGCGAGTCAGAAGGGATGAAATGGACGTTATGGAGATCCCTATGTAGACACAAGCATCATGACGGGATACGATTCCGAGATTTTGACAGTAACAACTTAGCTCTACTTGCCAAACAAGCTTGGCGGATACTGTTATCACATTACTACTGCACAATATGATTAATTGAACATGTGGGAAATTGCTTTAGAAATTATAGTTAATTAGTTAAGGGTTTTGTGGGTTGGGGGTATATGAAGTTAGGTGCAGGTATCCGTTAACTGGATATGGCTAAACCCAAACTCAATCCACTCCGCAAAAGTACAACAAGTTTAAAGTTGAACCCGACCCGCAATTCGTCAAAACAGGTTTGACCCGCGTTGACAGGGTTAGATGGGGTAATGTACCCGCGGATTGGGTTTCTATCGCCATCGTGGTGGACTAGTAGTAGTGGGTTTCTTTCTTCAAGTTAAATTTCGCTGGCTACTACGCTACGCTCAAATAAAACAGATCCGTGAAGCGGCTCGCGGTCGGCAGAAACGAAGAAGAAAGCAAACCACCCCAGAGCTGACGATCAATCCCGGAGCTTGTTCTCATTACTGCAACGAGAAGCAGGATTGTTTCAATTAAACGGAGAAAGAGATGGTTACCAAAACGGAGGAGAGTCAATTGAACAAGCTCGAGAACCAGGTCGACAATGGCGGTGGAGGCGCTTGGGAGTATCTTTGCCTGGCCCGGAAGCTCAAGGTCAGGCGTTCCGATAAGGTGCTCAAGTACGGGCTGTCCATCTTGAATGACTCCCGAAAGAGATCCAGCCTCGGTTCCGATGGTGCGTCAGCGTTGTTATTCTTGTTTCGGATTCGAATTGCAGCTTAATCCTTGATGAACTGGGGTTTTCTTGGTGATCTGTGAGATGAGTTGAGGGGTGGTTTATGTTTTCTGGATTTAGGGAGTGTTATGTAGAGTTGGGAAGTCGATTGGATTGTATTTTGAGCTGATTGGGAATCTTTTTTCTAGGGAGACTTGGTGGAATTATGGTCGACAGACGTGATTCTGCTGCTCGAGAGTGAATTCTATTCAAGTAAACTCCAATCATAATGTTTGATCCAATATGTTTTTGTAGGAGCCGCATATTTTTCTAGTTACAGGGGATGTTCCGTGCTCTAGGTCAACTGCTTAGACTGACAAATACTTGGTTGTGAGGTCCAAGGAGTGATTCCGACAAGAATGTTTCCTAATAGTATAAGTCTGGGTGCCAGATTATGGTGTTGTTTAGTTGAGTGGAAGGACCAATGGGTTGGTAAAGGTGCCTGATTCTTCCTTGGTCAGAGAGCTAGAAGAGAATGAATCTATGCGAAAAGCTTAAGAAAGCTTTCTAGCTAGCATGTAAATTGGAATTATACCACGGAAGCTGTTTGCAATTCATGTCAAATTACTATGAGTAACTGGTCTGTCTTTTATTGCAGAGTGGACCCTATACGAACAAGTGGCTGTTGCAGCTATGGACTGCCACGCTCTAGATGTGGCAAAGGTACTGATGTTTCCTTCTTGAGCTTACATCATTCGTTAGTTGCTAGATTACGGTGATGTTGGCTTGGCTTGAGTGAGGCTTAAGTCAGAACTTGTTGTGTCTTTAATAGGTCAACACAGACTGAATAAGGGGCTTTTTTGTTAACTTCTTCATGTTTATTAACCAATTCCATTGTTGAATTACTAGTTTCACCATGCATTGGTGACTTGAGTGACTACTTCACTTGGTATGATAGTGGCTAACGTGAGCACTATTGTATGTTTGTCAATTCGCATATTTTAGTTTAATCGATTAATCCATAGTTGATTGAGTCATTGAGAGAGACACATTGTCCTGGTGCCATTATTCAAGTGACACAGTTCTGTTATCTTTTGTAGGATTGCATAAATGCATTACAGAAGAAGTTTCCAGAAAGCAAAAGAGTTGGTAAGTAAACGTAGCCTTCAATCACATTTCAGTATCTCTTTTGAACCGACTTCTAACTAGTGCATGGTCCATGCTTTCCTAAGTTTGTCTGTTCACTTAATTTTCTCAATATCCATAGCCTTTAATCTTAAGTAAATGTAGCCTTCAAACTAGTGCATGGTCCATTCTTTCCAACCTGCTTCAAACTAGTGCATGGCTCATGCTTTCCCAGGTTGACAGTTCCCTAAATTCCTCTATGTTCATGATCTTCCTGCTCTTACATGCCATGCATATTGTCCTTGAGACACTACTCACTAGCCTTGCTGTACTTGCAGTACTTAACTATACCCTTGAAGTTTTATTATTCTTTTGGTTTAAATCACAGGCAGGTTGGAAGCAATGTTACTTGAAGCAAAGGGATCTTGGGAAGATGCAGAGGCGGCTTACTCAAGCCTTCTGGAGGAAAATCCATTTGATCAAGTAATTCCCTTTCGAAAATTATATAGTTACATTTTCTCATTAAAAGCGTTGTGCAAAATGTTCCCCCGCATGATTTTATTTCTGGTGTTGTATTCATCGTGCAGGTAATCCACAAGAGAAGGGTTGCTATTGCAAAGGCACAGGGCAACATTTCAGTAGCCATTGAATGGCTAAACAAATATCTGGAAATGTGAGTCTCTTAATCTACTTCCTTAAGTTCACGTCACCACTTTCCAAAACCACTCAATTCTGGCTTGTGGGTAGCACTCCGGAAAAAAAAGGGGTTCTACCTTGGCTCTGATGCATTAATGAGTTTAAGCTTATTTGATTTTTTTTTCCTTCTTCTTTTTGTTCAATCAAACCAAATCTGGTCATTCATATTTCCTCACAGTAGTTGATGATTACTCTAGGCATACATGGCTCTTTCTAATGAAATCAAAATCCGAGGTTAGACCTTTGTTAAAATCCTTTTATACGTTTGTCCTAACACAATTTAACAAGAAAATCAAATCCATAAGAACTGATAATGGTCAAGAATTCTTATATACTGATTTTTACACTGAAAATGGCATTTTACATCAACGTACTTGTGTTCAAACATCCCAACAGAATGGGATTGTTGAACGTAAGCACCAACATCTCCTTGCCATGACACGGGCATTACTTTTCCAGTCTTTCTTACCTCCTGCTTACTGGAATCATGCAGTTACTCATTCTGTTCACCTTATTAATGGTCTCCCTTCTCCACTTTTATCCAATAAGAGTCCTTATGAGTTATTACATGGTCAACCACTTAGCTATTCACATCTTAGGGTGTTTGGTTCTCTTTGTTATGCATCCACATTGTCTCATAATCGTTCTAAATTAGCTCCTCGAGCCATTCCCAGTGTTTTCTTAGGTTTTGTCACAGGAACCAAAGGGTATAAACTTCTTAATATCCAAACAAAAGAAACTTTTATACCCCGAGATGTCATTTTCCATGAGCTCATTTTTCCATTCTCTTCCCACGATCCATTACGAGATAGACAGATAGTATACCATTCTAGAAAGTCAACATCTCCAGTTCAATGATTTTGAGCTCCAACACATCATTGACTTGTGCATTTTTTGCTCTTATTTTCAGATTTATGGCAGACCATGATGCATGGAGAGAACTTGCAGAGATATACGTCTCCCTACAGATGTGAGAGCCTTTGTCCCGTTTCATATTACTTAATACAAAAGTGACATCACATTTTTTGAGGACCAGAAGCCTTGATCTATATACTATTATGTCCATAAATTAGGTACAAGCAAGCTGCTTTCTGCTACGAAGAACTGATACTTTCCCAACCTACTGTCCCACTCCACCATCTTGCCTATGCTGATGTAAGACACCTTTTTGCATCCAAGTTTCTATTTGATTCCCACTATTCGAATTATGCAAAACCACAATCAGGCATTTTTGGTTTGCAATGAACAGGTGTTCTATACACTCGGCGGACTGGAGAACCTTCAAACAGCAAAGAAATACTACTCTTCCACCATAGATTTATCTGGAGGCAAGAACAACAGAGCTCTCTTTGGCATCTGCTTGGTTAGTAGTGCTAACAACCCTAATTTAGGTTCCCTGCATCTTACCCTCGGACTGTTGCTCGTCATGACTGATCAAGAAACCCTCTTATGCGTGTTTATTTTTCCCCCAAAATTTCCAGTGTAGCTCCGCCATTTCACAACTGGCCAGAGGGAGGAACAGGGAAGACAAGGACAGTAGCCCAGATCTGCCATCTCTGGCATCAGCTGCTCTTGAGAAAGAGTACAAGCTGCAGGCCTCCGATAAGCTCTCCGTCCTTACCTCGACTTTGAAATGCTTGAGAGTCTCGTCATAATAACTCTTCATTCCCAAACCATTGGGAACTTTTCTCCATAAATAGAACATGTGAAAAGGGGACGCACACCGACTGCTGAACCTTGGGAAAATGTTTTGGCAATTTGGCTTCGCGTTATATGGTTGATCCGAAATTTCGTTCTTTGGTGGATTGATTCCTACGTGAGAACATAAAATTTATGATTCTTTAAGAGCTGGATTTGATTGTTTTTGTAGGGAAAGAGTGTAATCAGACTGAAGGATAGATTGAGATACCAGATTATTTATAGTTTTAACTAGCTTCTAGTTCGTAACTTCTTTTGGTCGGGAAAGATGAAGAAGGATTGCATTGATACAAAGGGACTACTCTCAATGAACCGGAATCGGAGGGCGGCCTGGGATTAGGAATTTCAACCTCTTTATTGAATGCTGATGATAGGAATTACAGGTATAACTGCTGGGATTTTTTTAGAAATAGCACTGTTTAAAAAAAAATTTCAAAAATAGCACCCAACTCCGAAAAATTCCTAAAATAGCACACTTTTCCCAAAACCGTCACCCGTACCAGCGATTTAGGCAAAAACCGCCACCCGTGGGCGCATTTTTCGATGAAAATCGAACTGGTAGGGGCGGTTTTGCAAACCGCACCCCCACCATGCGGTCTGTTTTTTTGTTCTTTTTTTTTAAATCCTAACCTAGGTGGAAACTTCAAACGAACTTATCTTTGTGTTCGGGTATCCGATCGTCGCGATTTTTTTTTTATTCTGAATAACTTTTGGAGATCTTGCAAGCCGAAGAGTGTCGAAGGTGGTTTGGTCTCCCCTTCGTCCCAAAAAATGTCGTTTGCTACCCCGAACGAGCCTATTTCCGATTTCGTCAAACTTTGGACAACAATAACTTTGTACTCCAAAATCCAAACGATATGACTTTTTTTTATTTCACATAACATTTTAAGGCCTACAATTTTTACTAGGTTAGGAACTCAAAGATATGTTCGTTTGAAGTTTCCACCTAGGTTAGGATTTTTAAAAAAAAAAAAAAAACAGACCGCATGGTGGGGGTGCAGTCTGCAATCAAACCACATGGTGGGGGTGGTGGTTTTCGCCTAAACCGCTGGTACAGGTGGCGGTATTTGGAAAATGGTACTATTTTTGGAATTTTTCAGAGTTGGGTGCTATTTTTTGGATTTTTTTTAAACAGTACTATTTCTGAAAAAATCCCAGAACTGCTACCCTTGTGAAGCAAACACAATCTCCAAAATTCTTATTGTCCCCACGGTGCAAAAAAACAAGTGGGCGTGGCGTTCTACAACAACTAGCGGGTTTTCGTGTCAATTGGGTGGGTGGGGTTCGGGCTGGGTTCAATTGGGTTGTGGGTAAGTTGTGTTTCGATTCATCGAGTTGCGAGTTCATCGGGTTCGGGTTCAATCGGGTTGTGGGTTCATGCGGACGGATCGGGTTGCGGGTTATTTGGGTCAACGCATCAAGTTACTTACTCCTTACTCGTTACCAATTTACACATTTTATTACACTAATTTAAATACTTTTCACAATTTTTAATCTGATGAGGACATCGATGGGCCAGTCACACGTGCTAAGGCAAGGACGTTGAAGGAGAAGCTTGCGACATATTTGGAGAGCTACTTTGGAGCCATGGACGTGGAGCTATTTCGAGGGAAGCCATATATGAAGATTCGAGTGGATGAAGAAGGAGGAAGTGCTGAAGAGAAGGCAGATTGCAAGAAGCAGCCTTAACGAGTTTGCTTAACGTGTCCAGGCTTAACGGTTTGGGCTTAACGGGTTTGCTGGGCTGTTTCCGAGTTTCCTGGTTTTAAAGTTGGTTTATGATTGTTTTTCCATGTTGGAGTCGGATTTGGGTTGTACCTTGCCTATTTAAAGGGCTGAACACGTTGATTTGCCTTTAGTTGATTATTATTGAATTTCAGAGGCTATTGCCGAGTTCCCTACGCGTAATTTGCCCTAATTAATCTGTCGAGAATCTCAAGAGTGCTAGAGCGACTCTTATCAGCTAGGTATTCACCCTGGTTGTGGCGAGCTATCCATATTGATTGCCCTTTATTCCGAGTTGAATCAGTCCGATCGATTCATATATTGATTGCCCTTATTCATGGGTGAGTACTGTCCGATCGATTTCCATCCTATCCGGTTCTGTTTGGTTTGAGAAGCTTGACCCTGCGCAACTTTGATTATATCAAGTGGTATCAGAGCTAAGGTTCAACTCAGTGGCGTGTTCTTGAAGTTTTTTTGAAGATCTTGTGCGTTCTTGTTTGTGTTCTTGGTGGTTTTGTTCGAGTTCTTGAAGGTATTGGCGTGTTTTGAGCCGCAAGACAGGAGGTTTTTTGTTCTTGGGAGTTCTTGGTGTTTCTTGCGAGGCAAGAAGCAGGTTGTGCGAGTTCTTGTGTTCTTGGAGTTTTCTTGCATCGCAAACATGGAAGCAGCACTCGAAGCGATCAGAAATCAATTGGAGAACATTGCTCGTGCTCAAGAAGAGCAAACAGCAAGGCTTGCCGAGCAAGCCACGAGGATGGAGGTTGTCGAGACAAGGCTCCAGCAGCCGGTTGTGGTCGATGCAAACCCTAACCCTAGACCTCGACAAGAAGAAAGGGGAAGGGAAAACTGAGCTCCTCCACCCTTGGTTCAAAAGTACAGCGTCATATGCGCCATCATAGACGCCTTGGAATTCCTCAAGTTTAAAGGAGAGGGCAGCAACAGCCTCATGAAGAGGAGTTTAATGACGAGGAAGAAGAGGGCTTTGAGGAGGATGATGATTTGCGAAATCTCAAGGTCACGATTCCACCTTTTTGCGGTACCACGAACCCTGATGCTTATTTGGATTGGGAGTGAAAGATGGAACTAGTGTTTGATTGTCATAACTACTCCGAGAAGAAGAAAGTGACATTGGCTACCCTAGATTTCTCGGATTATGCACGTGTTTGGTGGGATAAGTTGGGAACGAAACGAAGGAGAAATAGGCAGCGTCCTATTGAGACGTGGGATGAGATGAAAGGAATTATGAGGGATCGGTTTGTACCGAGTTCCCATTTGCGAGATATATATCAAAACCTCCAGCTTCTCCGGCAAGGAACTAAAAGCGTTGAAGATTATCACAAGGAGTTGGAAGTGTTGATGATATGTGCTAATGTGAGAGAGGACCGCGAGGCTACCATAGCTCGTTTTCTATATGGTCTCAATCGAGAGATCAAGAACGTGGTGGAGATACAACCATTCCTTGAACTTGAAGATTTGGTGGATATGGCAAGTAAAGTGGAACGACAGCTTCAAAATAGGAGGTTTCAACCTTCCACGAATTCCACACATTCGAGCCAAGGAGTTGCAACCAACCCTAAGTCGCTACTGCCCGTGAAAGAAGCTCCTAGACCCGCGGCAAGGGCTGATGGTGCAAATCCAGTTATGAAGCAAGGTGGATCGTCGAGGGAAATTCGTTGTTTCAAATGCCATGGAAGAGGACACATTGCGAGCCAGTGTGCCAACTGATCTTGCTTGATAATGGTGAGTATGTATAGGAGGAAGAGGAAGAGACCACCTATTCTGATGTCGATGATTCTATGGAAATGGAACCACCTCCAGGCAGTTTGTTTGTAGCACGGAGAGTATTGTCTGCGTAGCCTAAGGAGGAGAGTGAACAGCGAGAAAATATCTTCCATACGAGATGTGTAGTTGAATGGAAATTGTTGTCTCTGGTGATCGATGTAGGAAGTTGTACGAACGTTGTGAGCGCGTGTGCGATGAAGAGGCTAGGGCTGCATACGTTGAAACATCCAAATCCATACACGCTACAATGGCTTAACGATCACGGATCCATCAAAGTGACAAAGCAGGCACTAATGAAGTTCGCGATTGGAGATTACAAAGATGAGATTTGGTGTGATATAGTGCCTATGCAAGCTGTGCATGTGCTTTTTGGCAGGCCATGGCAGTTTGATCGACAAGCACAACATGATGGAGTGACAAATAAGTACATGTTGCAACATGGAGGATAGAAGTTCGTGTTGAAGCCTCTGTCTCCAAGTGAAGTATATCGAGATCAACTCCAAATGTAGCAACGTCGAGAGCAAGAGAAGGCAAGTAATGCTTCGGCCAAGAAAGGAGAAGAGGGAGTTGGAATTGTGGATTCGAAGGCAGTGATGCTAGCACACAATGGAGATTTGAAACAAGCTTCCTGTGCACGAGAACCTTTAATTGTGCTCATGTACAGGGGCGTGATCCTCAATCAAGAGCTAGTCCAAGAAGTTCCAGCCAAAGCAAGAGTGGTGTTGGATGAGTTCGAATATGTGTTTCCAGAGGAAGCACCAAAGGTGCTGCCTCCTATTCGCGGGATTGAGCACCAGATTGATTTCGTGCCGGGAACTCAAATTCCAAACAAGGCAGCATATCGAGCTAATCCGGAAGAGACCAAAGAGCTGCAAAGGCAGATTGACGAGCTCATGGAGAAGGGGCATGTTCGAGAAAGTTTGAGCCCGTGTGCAGTTCCGGTGATTCTCGTGCAAAAGAAGGATCACACCTGGCGGATGTGTGTAGGCTGCCGAGCCATCAATCAAATTATAGTTAAGTATCGTCATCCAATTCCACGATTAGATGATATGCTTGATGAATTACATGGCTCTATGGTGTTTTCCAAGATTGAATGAGATTAGGTTACCACCAAATTCGTATGAAGGTGGGAGACAAGTGGAAGACTGCGTTTAAGACCAAGCAGGGTCTATACGAATGGATGCTGATGCCCTTTGGTTTAACCAATGCTCCTAGCACGTTCATGAGGGTGATGAACCAAGTTTTGAGGTCATTCATTGGAAAGTTTGTGGTCGTATACTTCGACGACATTCTGATCTATTCGAAGTGCATGGAGGATCAATCACTTGAGAGAGGTGTTGGTGATGTTGAGAAAGGAGAAATTGTATGCTAACCTCAAGAAGTGCTCGTTTTGCACTTCTAGTGTTATTTTCCTTGGTTTTGTGGTGAGAGCAGATAGAGTCAAGGTGGA